TAGACTGCGGCTCCCTGCGACGCAGGCACAGCTGCCTTCAGCGTTCCCACCCAGTGAGCTGGCGACATGATGGACGTGCTGCAAACGTCCTGCACAACACATTGCTGCGGTAATTCCCATGATCCATGCCGCAAACATCATACACAGCCTGCCTGCTTGCAGACATGAGTTACATAGCTGTAGAGCAACTCCACGCTTGCAAACAAGCCTTGCGCTGACCAGTGCTTGCACTCATGAGTGCAAGTATGGCAAGTGGAGCGGCAGACTACCAAGCATCCCCCATACAACACAGCAGACAGCATCGAACAAGCTGCGTCGCCAGCTGCAGCTACAGATCCCTGCTGCTGTCAGGCGGTGGGCCGGTCCCACTGCGTCTTCTGTGTCGCCTTGTGCCAGTAGTACGGCTTGCCATTGGGGTCATACGCCACAGCCCAGCCATCAGGCAGCCCCTCCTCAGGCCGCCCTGCACAGGAATAAAAGAAGCAACCCATGCAGGCGCACAGAAAAAGAGACAAGCACGTTATATTTAAACTCAGCATCCGCAACAGCTGTCCGGCCAACATCTGCTGTTTTCTGCCAGATGCCCGTTGAGTGCAGCTGCCATTTGGAGTGGTTCTCCGATTAAAAACTTGTCGTACAAGCATGCCTACTGAGAAGATTCATCACAAGAGCATCTAGCTGCCACATGTCCTCCTAAGGTCTATTTGACCGCTCTGCAAGGGCAAGCACGGCTGGACAGCAGCAAGCACTGATGCAACCGCCAGCGGCACATGCAGTACAACACTTGAAGGTGGAGAGCCAGGCGGGTGATGTGCTTGCATGGCAGGGCAGTCGTACACCCACCTGCTGCTGCTGCTGGCTGCTGCGCTGGCTGTGCTGCCACCTGTGTGGCATGCTGCGACGCCTCTGCTGCGCGCTTGACCTCGTCCCAGCTGATGCCCTGCTGCGCAGCAAGGCTCTGCAGCAGCAACATGCAGCAGCACACGCACACTCAAATGCATGCGGTAAGCAGCAGCAACATCAGTAAGTGCACTCCCAACGAAAACAGCTGGCGTCAACTCCTGTGACAACGCAGCAGTGCAGCAGCCACCAGCACACGTGCGCGGTACAAACAGGGCCAGGCGTGGCCACCCTCCGATGCTCTTCACTGCAGTGGCGCTCTCCCTCCGACATCTGCTACACTATGTGCTGCACCACCTGCTTGCCATCCACTGCGCCGTGCTTCATCACAAGCAGCCCCTACCTTTGCGTACTGCTCTGCTGCCTTGCGCACGGCATCTTCGTCGCAGGTGCGCAGCCGCCGCCGCTCGCGCAGGTCCGACTCGTACACCGGCGGCCGCAGCATGAAGGCGTTCTCGCCGTAGATGCCCTTCCAGTTGACGGTGCCGTTGGGGCATTCAACGGCCTGGTGCCCTACCTGCAGGGGTGCATGGCGGCACAGTGTGCAGGTGTGGGTGCAGGCAGCAGTGTATATGCCTGGAAGTGGCATGGGTGCGTAGCTGGGCGAGGATGAGCGGCCAACATGCAACAGACGGACACTAGGCGATTGTTGCAGCGTCATATATCGCCAGGCCTGTGGTTAGGGCAGGCAATAAAGCCATGGGCGCTGCACTCAGGGAGTCACAGCGCACTTGTGGCACAGGTGGCATTTGCTGGTTGCACAGGTCTCTGCCATGTGCAGATACCACACCAGCAGGGCTCTTGCCCTTGCTTGATAAGCGCATAGATACTGTGCGCTGAATCGTATCTGCCAACGTACGGCAATGGCTACACACTACCCCGCTCGTTGCAAGCATACCGAAGTACATGCTGGAGTTCACATGGTGCAAGTGCTATTCCTGCTGCTTTGTGAGGCAGTGCTGGCGTGTTGGCTCACCTGTCCGCACAGGTTGCAGCCCCTGGGATCCCACGAGGGGTCCCTGCGCAGCTTGTGGTGCATCTCCATGGTGCCCTGCAGCAACAACACAGGCGGCAGCAGCAGCAGCAGCAGCAGCAGAAACGTCCAGCAGCAGTGAATAAGCGTCTGCACAATGCTGATGTGAGCAGCAGCCACGGAAGCCTTGTCCAAACAGTTGAGAGCAGAAGAGTACGGCAGTGCATGTATCAGGTCCAGCAGACAGCGACAGCAGTGCGCTCAAGCACCCATGCTGCTGATGCCTGCTGGCTACGTGACTTCACATCCTGCCAAGCTGCTCCCGGCTCTACTGCTCTTGCATAGACTGCAAGGCTGAAGTTCCTTCACTAACCTAAGCTGCCTGTGGCCGATCAGGCCAGGAGCACCAGGAGTGGAGGCTGAGGAGCAGCAGCACTGGCAAGCACCACAGCCCTCAGTGCAGCAGGTCCCTGTCGCCTCGACAGAACTGTTCGTTCGCCGCGGACACGTATACGTTGCGTGGTTTAGGATGATCCGAGCCAAGGAGACTGGAAGCAGCTCTTGGCTTTCGACTGAACTGTCACTCGTATACTGCCCACAGGCCCATGCACAAGGAACATTAGTGCAACAAACATAAAGGTGAATGCGTGCCAGAGCCTATCAGCGCCCTCACCTGAAACCCTGCTTCGCAATGCCTGACCTGTGTTACCGCCTGATCGCCCCTCCTTTGCTGGATGTGTGCTGATCTCACGTATCGTTTGTTGCGTTTGAACTGAAGTATCCAGCGCGTTCAGCCTGCTACCAGCACATACGCATTCAGTTGCAGTGGCCCTGCAGGAGTTGATGTGATCCTATACCAAGCAGCAGAACTCACCTCACTCAGAACATCGTGAGCACGGACGTCGTTAGTATAGTCAAATCAAGCAGCATTGCGCCTGCAGCAGCTACAGGAGGCGTCGCTGCAGGCAGGGCAGTTGGCACGCATGAGGCCATGAGCAAACAGACAGCACAGCGCTGAAAAGCAGCAGCAGCATGGACTTGCTGCGCCGCAAAGTGCGGCCGGAGCTTAAGCCCCCAGACACGCTCAGCCGCTACGTTGTGACCAAGCATGCATGGTACAAGCACTACAAGCGCATTTTCTTGGTGACGCCAACTGCCATCCACACCCAGAATCCAGAGCGCACGCTGGTGCTCACAAACTCGTACACGTTTGCTGGGGACTCGGACATCGAGTCTGTGAGCCTGGGGACAGATGAGTTTGATTTTGTCATCAGCGCTCGGCAGGACAAGAAGGTGAGCAGCAGCCAAGCAGCTCTGGCTTGCGTCTGCGGTGCCAGTGCCAGCATTCAACTGAAGCAGTACCAGGCAACGCGCAATTTCGGTTCTACAGCCTGGCTAAGCCCTTTCCCCCACAGCAACAAGCACAAAACTACACATGTCACGCGCTGATGTGGCTGCTGGCTTCTCGCAAGCACAACATGCACCTCAGCTGCCTGGTCCAAGGCCTGTGCCGCGGTGACCATGTACCTGCTGTACTGCCCTGTGCTGCACTGCCCCTTTTTTGTGCTGCAGGGCAAGTTCAAGCCCCTCAAGTTCACCTGCAAGCACCGGCAGCTGCTGCTGACAGACCTGTTCCAGTGCATGGCAGCAGCCTCAGCCATGGGCAGGTGCCTGGTGGCAGCTAAAGTGCTGGGGTGAGCAGCAGCAGGCAGCGCAGCTCAGTCCAGCACTACACCAAAGAGCTACAGGCCACGCCAAAACACACTATTACACCCAGAAGTACGCATTTAATGCATGCTGGTTGAGCTGTAAGCTGGGCAGCTGCAATTGGTGAAGCTGGTGGCTAGTGCTACCACGCCCGTGCACAACGTACCACTTCAAAGCACCTCACGCAGTGCAACTTCTCCAGCTGTCACCACATACGCTTTGCAGTTCTGGGCTGCATCACAATGCTCATGCTGCTCCGCTGCTGCCCTGCCCTGTGCTTGCCTGCAGGCCCTCTCACGAGTTCCCTGCAGCCAAGTGGTCGCGCAGCAGCAGCGGCTGGGTGCTGGTGATGCTGCGGGTGACTGCCTTTGGCCTTGAAGCACTGGACCCGCAGTCAAAGGCAGTGCGCTGGCGCTGCGATTACCAGCGCATGTCATCGCCAGGGGTCATGCTGCTGTCGCCGTACCAGCCAGCTGCAGCTGCAGCAGCACCCACAGCAGCAACAACAGCAGCCGCAGCAGCAAAGCCAGCAGTTGTTGCGCCGCAGGATGGTGTGTTTGCTGTGATGGCTCGCACGGGCCGCAGCAGCCCTCGAGTGTTTGCGCTGCGTAACAGGGACGCTATGCTGGGGCAGCTGCAGCAGGCAGCGCGCCAGAAGATGGCAATGAGTATCAACAGTGAGTGCTGTGCGCACTTGTATGGCAACAGCAGGGTTTGAGCTAGCTGTGCAGCAACAGCAGCCAGACCTTCATGCATTGTGCGCTGCAGCGAGACAATTTCAGCGGACATTTGCTGCTAGCTGCGCAAGCTTGACACATGTGCAGCAGCGGTTCAGCAGCAGGTGTCGCTTCACCTCCGCACACCTCCGGTATCTCTGCTGCACACATTCCTCTGTTATATCAGGGGCTGATTAATGGTTGTGTCTCTGCCGGCATTCAAACCCTGGACTTGCTGCCCTGGTCTGCAGTCGACAACAGCGGGCGCAGCAGCCTGCAGGAGCTGCTGGATGCTGTCATGCTTGCTGAGCGGGCCAGCAGCAGCGGCCCTGGTGAGCTGCCACTGGGCCAGTGGGAAGTTGAAGCGCTGCGGGGCCGCGCTGACCTGCTGCCGCCGCAGCTGCTGCAGGCCAGCCCGGCACAGTCAGCACGCAAGCTGAGCGTGGAGGCGCTGGCAGGCATGACAGACGTGCTGGTGATGTCAGGTGAGCAACGCTGATCTGTCAGAGAAGAAGAAGGTTTAATCGGTGGGCACAGGCAACTGCGTTGCAACAAAGACACGAACGAGTTTGGCTTGTCGGCCAGGATGCCTAGATGTCGGGCAGCAGCAGTACGACTTCGGCCGTGCGTGGACGCAGTGCGCGAAAAAGGTAGCACGATGCCTGCCACGTATTGTTGTTAAGTTGCAATATTATAGGTTGCGACGATTCCACCAGGGATCGAACCTGGCATCTCCGGTTCCGTAGACCGGCGCCTTATCCATTTGGCCATGGAACCTGAGCTGTGCTGATGTCATGCTGTAGTGAGAGGCAACTCCTCAAGGGTTCTGGTGCGTTTTCAGACAGCAGCAAGGGCTGAAAGAGGGGCAAGTGACTCGCTCTAGGGCGATAGCTTGCCCACCCCTGTAACAGACCTCTCTCAAAGGGCAGCCTTCCTCCCTCCCCCGCCGCTGCGCCGCATGATTGCTGGTCTTCAAGCGCTAGGCAAAGTTTGTGATGTGAAGGCGTTGGCGCCTGCGGCGCCTGCCCCTGCACTGCCGCCGCCACATCCTCAACAGCTGTCAGACGTGCAGCAGTTGCGTGCACAGCTACAGGCTGTGCAGGATGCGCCGGTGCTGCAGCCCGGGGCTTGGTGTAGTTTGGCTCCTGTCTTTGCTAACCCTTTTTTGCAAGCAATGGTTGGGTTTGTGCCCGGTGGGCTGCAAATGCATCCCGTGCCCTCTGTGCGCGGGCCACATGCATGTTCTGGCGGCAAGTGTCGGCCGCGCATCCGCACTGTGGCCGATCTCTGTCGCGCTTGGCATGTGATCCAGCATGCTGCACGGCAGCAGCTGCCACACCCATTGCTGCCGTACGGCTCCAACTTCAGCAATGCAGACAACGAATCGGCAGATTTGACAGACTTGGTTAACTTGTTGCCCATGCCGTGGCATCGGGCTGCCTTGGCTGTTGTGCGGCATCCTGCAGCAGACCGGCCCTGGCCGCCTGCAGCTGTGCCAGACCCGCCATGTGTGCCTTCTGCAGCAGAGCAGCATGTTGAGGCCATGTTGGTGGCGCGGCTAGGCTGGCGGAATCATCGCGGCAAGACGGTGTCTGTTGCGCAATTGTCTGTTCGTGAAGCTACCTCATTGCAGCTTGGTCCCCTGCGTGCTGAGCGCCAGGAGCGGCGCACTAGGTTTGTCAGTGTTGCGATCGGTGCGGGTGCCCCGCCCGCGGCGTTGACTCGTGGTTTGCAATGTGTGGCGGCCGCCCAGGGCGCACTATGGAAGATGCGCTGGGATAATGCGTACAAGGAGACGTATTGGCGGCTGATCATGGATGGCTTGCCTACGTCGCAGCGCATGCACCAGCAGCATGATACATGCATGTGTGGCGCTGCGTGCCCTGGTCTGGTGCACCATTTTTGGGAGTGCCCAGTTGCGGTAGCGGTGATTGACAGCCTGCTGTCTGCGTTGCCTGCAACATGGTGTACGCGGGCTGCAGGCCGCCCGCCGCTTGCTATGCGGCATGTCTGGTTGATGCAGCGGCCTCCCGGCCCTAAGCGGCTCCACCAGGGTGTTTGGGGGGTTATTTGTTTAGCTGCTCTGAATGCCATGGATGTTGGCCGACGGCAGGCTAACACGCTGCACATTCCGCCGCCCGCGCCTGCTGCGCCGCGGCCGTCTGCGCCGCCGCCGCAATGGCAGGTACCTATTACAGATGTGTTTCAGCCTGCAGCTCTCACTGCTGCGCAGCAACAGCATAACCAGCTGGTTGAGCAGCGTAGGCAGCAGCAGCTGCTGCAACAACAACAACAGCGACAGCGACTAATAGCGCAGGTGTTACAGGAGGCGAAGCAGCAGGCGGTTTTGCGGTTTTGGGAATTGCTTGCTGATTTTGTGGCAATGGAGGCTGCGCCGGCTCATTGGCGTGTTGCGGTGCCTGGAGATCACCCGTTCTTGCGATCTGATCCAGCACAGCTGCGCATTGTACTGGCGCCCCGCTCTGGTTGACCTTCCTGCTTTTACATGATGTGCTGTCAGTAGTTGTCCAATCTCCACTTTCTGGCAAGGCCATGTTGCATGTCGTGTGTCACTGTGCTTGATTTTCCAGCTCTGTGTGTCGCATTGCGTGCTTCTGTGCTTGTCAGCCATGAGGATTGCAGAAGCAGTAGCACCTTAGTTTGCATGTCACATGCAGTGTCTCCTGTCGGTCCCGCGTGCTCCTGCTTGCTGCAGTCTGGTGTGTACAGCAGTGCCTTGGTGCAATCATGCCAAACACCTATGGTAAGCAGCACCATTGTGCATCCCGCTTGCTGTTTGGACCATGCATGCCTTCCCTTGTGCGTTTTGTGCCCTGTGCTTTGAGCACCCTGCTGCTTTTCGTGCTGCACTTCGCACATGCTGCACTGCATGTACTTGTTGGTTTATGGGGAGGTAGGGGCTGCAAGATGCCTCTGGAGTTTTACTTTGGTTGCATCTTGTGGCTTGCTATCGGGTTCTCATGATATGTGAGCTGAAAGAGGGGCAAGTGACTCGCTCTAGGGCGATAGCTTGCCCACCCCTGTAACAGACCTCTCTCTCGGCAGCCTTGGATCCGCATTGGGCGGGAGCTATTGCGTTCTAAGCATAAATGGTGGGGCCCATTGTCCTTGTTTGACAGCTTTGAAGACACGCAAACGCCGATGGAGCCGTCGCAGGCGTTCCCTCAGCAGTCCCTCCCTCCCCCGCCGCTGCGCCGCATGATTGCTGGTCTTCAAGCGCTAGGCAAAGTTTGTGATGTGAAGGCGTTGGCGCCTGCGGCGCCTGCCCCTGCACTGCCGCCGCCACATCCTCAACAGCTGTCAGACGTGCAGCAGTTGCGTGCACAGCTACAGGCTGTGCAGGATGCGCCGGTGCTGCAGCCCGGGGCTTGGTGTAGTTTGGCTCCTGTCTTTGCTAACCCTTTTTTGCAAGCAATGGTTGGGTTTGTGCCCGGTGGGCTGCAAATGCATCCCGTGCCCTCTGTGCGCGGGCCACATGCATGTTCTGGCGGCAAGTGTCGGCCGCGCATCCGCACTGTGGCCGATCTCTGTCGCGCTTGGCATGTGATCCAGCATGCTGCACGGCAGCAGCTGCCACACCCATTGCTGCCGTACGGCTCCAACTTCAGCAATGCAGACAACGAATCGGCAGATTTGACAGACTTGGTTAACTTGTTGCCCATGCCGTGGCATCGGGCTGCCTTGGCTGTTGTGCGGCATCCTGCAGCAGACCGGCCCTGGCCGCCTGCAGCTGTGCCAGACCCGCCATGTGTGCCTTCTGCAGCAGAGCAGCATGTTGAGGCCATGTTGGTGGCGCGGCTAGGCTGGCGGAATCATCGCGGCAAGACGGTGTCTGTTGCGCAATTGTCTGTTCGTGAAGCTACCTCATTGCAGCTTGGTCCCCTGCGTGCTGAGCGCCAGGAGCGGCGCACTAGGTTTGTCAGTGTTGCGATCGGTGCGGGTGCCCCGCCCGCGGCGTTGACTCGTGGTTTGCAATGTGTGGCGGCCGCCCAGGGCGCACTATGGAAGATGCGCTGGGATAATGCGTACAAGGAGACGTATTGGCGGCTGATCATGGATGGCTTGCCTACGTCGCAGCGCATGCACCAGCAGCATGATACATGCATGTGTGGCGCTGCGTGCCCTGGTCTGGTGCACCATTTTTGGGAGTGCCCAGTTGCGGTAGCGGTGATTGACAGCCTGCTGTCTGCGTTGCCTGCAACATGGTGTACGCGGGCTGCAGGCCGCCCGCCGCTTGCTATGCGGCATGTCTGGTTGATGCAGCGGCCTCCCGGCCCTAAGCGGCTCCACCAGGGTGTTTGGGGGGTTATTTGTTTAGCTGCTCTGAATGCCATGGATGTTGGCCGACGGCAGGCTAACACGCTGCACATTCCGCCGCCCGCGCCTGCTGCGCCGCGGCCGTCTGCGCCGCCGCCGCAATGGCAGGTACCTATTACAGATGTGTTTCAGCCTGCAGCTCTCACTGCTGCGCAGCAACAGCATAACCAGCTGGTTGAGCAGCGTAGGCAGCAGCAGCTGCTGCAACAACAACAACAGCGACAGCAACTAGTAGCGCAGGTGTTACAGGAGGCGAAGCAGCAGGCGGTTTTGCGGTTTTGGGAATTGCTTGCTGATTTTGTGGCAATGGAGGCTGCGCCGGCTCATTGGCGTGTTGCGGTGCCTGGAGATCACCCGTTCTTGCGATCTGATCCAGCACAGCTGCGCATTGTACTGGCGCCCCGCTCTGGTTGACCTTCCTGCTTTTACATGATGTGCTGTCAGTAGTTGTCCAATCTCCACTTTCTGGCAAGGCCATGTTGCATGTCGTGTGTCACTGTGCTTGATTTTCCAGCTCTGTGTGTCGCATTGCGTGCTTCTGTGCTTGTCAGCCATGAGGATTGCAGAAGCAGTAGCACCTTAGTTTGCATGTCACATGCAGTGTCTCCTGTCGGTCCCGCGTGCTCCTGCTTGCTGCAGTCTGGTGTGTACATCAGTGCCTTGGTGCAATCATGCCAAACACCTATGGTAAGCAGCACCATTGTGCATCCCGCTTGCTGTTTGGACCATGCCTGCCTTCCCTTGTGCGTTTTGTGCCCTGTGCTTTGAGCACCCTGCTGCTTTTCGTGCTGCACTTCGCACATGCTGCACTGCATGTACTTGTTGGTTTATGGGGAGGTAGGGGCTGCAAGATGCCTCTGGAGTATTACTTTGGTTGCATCTTGTGGCTTGCTATCGGGTTCTCATGATATGTGAGCTGAAAGAGGGGCAAGTGACTCGCTCTAGGGCGATAGCTTGCCCACCCCTGTAACAGACCTCTCTCTCTCGCCTTCCTGCTTTTACATGATGTGCTGTCAGTAGTTGTCCAATCTCCACTTTCTGGCAAGGCCATGTTGCATGTCGTGTGTCACTGTGCTTGATTTTCCAGCTCTGTGTGTCGCATTGCGTGCTTCTGTGCTTGTCAGCCATGAGGATTGCAGAAGCAGTAGCACCTTAGTTTGCATGTCACATGCAGTGTCTCCTGTCGGTCCCGCGTGCTCCTGCTTGCTGCAGTCTGGTGTGTACATCAGTGCCTTGGTGCAATCATGCCAAACACCTATGGTAAGCAGCACCATTGTGCATCCCGCTTGCTGTTTGGACCATGCCTGCCTTCCCTTGTGCGTTTTGTGCCCTGTGCTTTGAGCACCCTGCTGCTTTTCGTGCTGCACTTCGCACATGCTGCACTGCATGTACTTGTTGGTTTATGGGGAGGTAGGGGCTGCAAGATGCCTCTGGAGTAT